TTGAATGACGAAATCGAAACGTGAAAGAAATTCCGACCAACGGGCTTGTCGACGGTTTAATAACTTTGTTGACATAAAATATTCGAGGTTCCGATGGTCGCTAAGAACTTCAATTGGGAATTGTGCCCCCTCTAAATAATGTCGCCATTCCTCAAAACATCGTACGATTGCCAGGAGTTCTTTGTCATAGATCTCATAGTTACATTCCGCAGGGGAATGTTTCTTAGAGAAGAAAGCGACTGGATGTAGAATTCCTTCGTCGTCACGTTGGGACAGAATTCCAGCAGAAACATAATCGGATGCATCGGTTTCTACCACGATTTTCCGATCCGGATCAAAGTGCATTAGTATGGGTGCTGTTGTGAACATCCTTTTCAATGTCTGGAATGCTTCCTCCCTTTCATCCGTCCATTCAAATTTAACATTTTTCTTGGTCAGAGCTGTAAGCGGAGCAACAATTTTTGAATACCCTAAAATAAAACGTCGATAGAAATTCGCAAATCCCAGAAATACTTGAATATCATGGAGATTCCTTGGTGTGGACCATTCCAAAACATCGACAACTTTCTTCGGATCCATCCTATTCCCATCCGGGGTGAGAATAAGGCCGAGATACTTCGTTTCCTGGACTATAAATTCACATTTCTCAGGCTTAAGGTGAACATGACTCTCATCAAGTACCTTCAAAACCTTTCGAATGTGCTCTTTGTGTTCTGCCAGGGTTTCCGAGTAGATAAGAATGTCATCTAGGTATGCTGTCACAAATTGGTCGAGGTATGGTCGTAAAATATCATTGATCCAGTGTTGGAACGTAGCAGGGGCATTAGCTAATCCGAACGGCATTACAGTATACTCGAAATGTCCATAACGAGTCCTAAATGCCGTTTTCCATTCGTCTCCCTCCGCTACCCTGATCTGATTGTATCCCCAACGTAGATCCAACTTGGTATAGTACTGTGCCTTCGAAAGTTTAGCCAAAGTTTCCTTTAACAGTGGTAACGGGTACCGATTTTTGACCGTGATCGCATTGAGGCCTCGGTAATCCACACATAGTCGGAGAGTCCCATCACTTTTCTTTACGAATAGTATGGGTGCTCCCGCTGGCGACTCACTGGCTCGAATGAATCCCTTAGGTAGATTTTCGTCAAGGTATTCTCGTAGTGCTTTCAATTCAACCTGGGATAATCCATATATCGGTCCGTGTGGTGGTCGTTTACCTTCCTTTAATACGATCTCAATATCATGTAACGGCCGATGTGGTGGAAGGACTGAAGCATCATACTCTTGGAACATATGGAGACGATGGTGGAACTCCTTTGGTACTAGTTGTTTAACGTCGACGGTGGATTTTTCAACTGCTGAAATGACAATAGTATGATGTTCTGGTAGAGGGATTGATATTCCATGGACAGTAACTGTCGTTCCACTGAGTGAACAGTGTTGACAACAGCTTCGAGAGTCAAAAATAAGTAGATTATCCTTTGGCCGAATGGTGACATCGTGCCGTCGCATCCACGGTATTCCCATCACGATCGGATAATGTCCTAACTTTGTAACGAAACATGAGGCAATTTCTCGGTGACCATGAATATCTAGTGAAACATCGACAATGTGGGTAATTTCTCCTGACTGGATAGGTCTTCCATCCATAACATCTACCTGGCGAGATTTCCTAAGGGGGGTCATTGTAAGATTGTTATGACGTACAAAGGATTCATCGATAAAAGCATATCCTGATGCTCCAGTATCAATGAGAGCGTAGGTGGGAATGAAAGAGTCGGGATTCTGAGAGACCGAACAGGTAACAACAAGAGAGTCTTCGGACATCTTATCCTCAGACACAGCAGTAGCAGCAGGGAGAACAGGAACAGGTGGCGGGACTGGCCCCTTTGGTTTGCCATTTTTTACCAAAGGGGCTGACCTTTTAACGCCGGCTTTGAAGACCCATTTTCAAGTGGCCTTTCTCGCCAATTGCTAATGGAACGGGGATCTTGGGCGCGAGGAGCCAGGTAACGAGGCTTGGAGACATGGCGAGATTTAACTGTAGCGGTAGAAACGGGGATACGAGAACGAAGATCAGCAATGGTGGCATTGGCTTGGGCCTCCCAGGCTTTTGCAACAGAAGTGATGTGAAGAATCTCATCTTCAACATCAGCGAGGTTCTCGTCGGCAATGGCGAGACTTTCCTGGTGTAGTGCCAGACGGAACCGAAGCTCTTCTTCTTCAGCCTTCGATTCCTCCAGCTCAGTCTTCAAAGCAACAATAACCTCGTCGCGACCTCGGATGATCTCGGTAGAATCTTCCTGGTTATCGCACAAGGTTTGCCAAAAATCTGCAGCCTTTTCGTTGGCTGCTTCTAGTTCTGTGGTGAGGCCGGCAATGACCTCTTCCTGAGCCGTGTCGATAACGGGTTCTAGTGGTGCGGGGGTGTCAAGAGGCTTGGTGAGAGCCTCCAAACACTCAGCAATAAGGCCATGAGCCTCCGTAAGTTCTTCGCCGAAGTCTATATCGGCTGGGAGGGGACCATAGGTGGTCAGAAATTCTAAAAGACGCTGCAACAGCGTATCCTGAGCGATGTCGGACATAGTCGCGACCAGAGCTAAGCAAGGTAGTGTTGTATCGGTTGGCTGTAGAGGATGTAACCTAAGTGTAACGGGGACTATGGGCGTAGGAACTATGAAGCCAAGGAATACAACCGAGGTGAAGACGTGGACGTAGGAGGTTCGTGGACTATGGACTATGGGGCCGGGGTATGCTACCAAGGCGGGAATCGTGGACTATGGACTATAGGGCCGAAGGGTAGACCTAAGGCAAGAACGGAGACTGTGGACTATGGACTATGGATGGTTGTACCTGGTCTAGTATACCGGGTAAACCCTATGACGTAGCGCGAACCAAATAGTATTCGTAACTGTAAAATACAGAGGTTACATAAAGAGGAAAGGAAAAGAAAGAGAAACAAGAAATCACGAGACAACGCCCCCCTTATATATCCATGCCCTATCCCAATGCTGACTCATACTCTCGCGTAACAGAAACAGAAAGAACATAATAGAAACCCGCTTCGCTAAACCCAACCACACTGCATAACCCTTCCTCTTCATACCCAAACACCTCGCATAACCAAACCACATGGCTGCCGTTACAGTTGCACGGTGATATTGTAACGGAGCCATTTCAACTGTCTGGTGTATGAGTACACACAGTGTAACGGGGACTATGGGCGTAGGAACTATGAAGCCAAGGAATACAACCGAGGCGAAGACGTAGACGTAAGGAGGTTCGTGGACTATGGACTATGGGGCCGAGGTATGCTACCAAGGCGGGAACGTGGACTATGGACTATGGGGCCGAAGGGTACACCTAAGGCAAGAACGGGGACTGTGGACTATGGACTATGGATGGTTGTACCTGGTCTAGTATACCGGGTAAACCCTATGACGTAGCGCGAACCAAATAGTATTCGTGACTGTGAAGTACAGAGGTTGCATAAAGAAGAAAGGAAAAGAAAGAGAAACAAGAAATCACAAAACAACGCCCCCCTTATATATCCATACCCTATCCCAATGCTGACTCATACTCTCGCATAACAGAAACAAAAAGAACATAATAGAAACCCACTTCACTAAACCCAACCACACTACATAATCCTTCTCCCTTATACCCAGACAACTCACATAGCCAACCCGCCTAGCTGCCGTTACACACAGGGCCCGGTTACATGCTGAGAGTTATTGTTAGAAGCCAGTTGCACGGTGATATGCAAGTACCGGCAGTGTGGTTAGCTACCAGCTGTTAGAGTAACTACATTCTGGGCATTAGGAAGGGAATCTATTCATGGGAGCAATGACTGACGAGTCTATGCCTCGCCAGTGACTAGAAGACCGGCCAGAGTGAAGCTCTGATTGCCCGGTGATCCTCTGTATCCTCTGAGCATTGTATGTCCGCCGAAGGGGCAGGGACTATGCTAGGGAAGTCTACAATAAGCAAAAAGCTCTACAGCAATGATTAAGCTTACACCTGAGCGGTAGCTCATTCATGCAGGTCCTCGGTTGTGTGGTAACCAAGGCTGCAGGTGTTACAAAGGATTTGACTAAGGGTGGTTGCCTTGGGTATCGGAAACACCTGCTGACGCTTAGAGAAAAGTGGGGTAGCGGTGGTATTATTTCCGGCACCGAGGAAAGGCCCACCGGAACTTAGTAAGGAGTAAGGAGCAGAGAATAGAAGCCTTCGGAGTATAAGTACTCAGGTTCATTCTCGCCCTTCAGTCCTGTTCTCTCGAGTCCTCATCAGAAAAGAAACCAAGTTCTTATCGGTATCAGAGCCCTTAAAGATTATTGAGTTCTAGCGATAGTATCTTTGAATAATCTGCAACCTGATTGTCTATCTTGCACGGCCGTCTCTATTCTACTCGATTCTATTTCTCTTAGAAAGGACCCCCGTTACACCGAGACCCTGAAAAACAACCGAGAACATTTAACTCCTAAGTCCGTAACCCAAACTCCTAAACCCACTGAAACCCCTCAACCTATTTACCCATTCTAATGCACGTTTCCCTGTCGATGTTTCTTCTACATCGGCCTTCTGGTGGATAATCGTCAGCATCGGCTATTCGGAGGTCTCGGATGGCAAGGCTACCTACTCAGGCCTCTTCCCACACCGCTTTCCCACATAGCAGAGTCCTCTCATGCCCACAGGTACCGCCGATAGGTACTCGGTCGGCTGGTAGCTTGCGCCGATTCCCTCCGGGTGGTCCGATCTTCAATCCGATTGATTCCAGCTGTCCCTCATATATCCACCGGTCCAAAAGCACACCCCTCCGGCGGTTTGACACTCCGGGAGTTATTATTGGGGTCTAAAACGTGTTTTTTAACTAGGAAAACCGCAACTCCACGTTTGGTCGCATATTGATCGCACCGCACCTCGTGGGTGTGAACCGGAGTTGATAGTGGTGTTGCCATTAGTATCAGAGGGTATTGGGGTATCTACTAGCCTTTCTCTTACTCCCGTAAATGCTTGGCATGCCCGTAACACGTAAACAGGGTTTTGAGTTTTTCGAAGGCTGCTTGAGCCGTCATAGACCAGACAAAGTTCTTAGCATCACCCCTGAGACAATCGGTAATGGGTTTACAGACCCCGGAGAAATTGTGGATAAACCTTCTGTAGAAGTTGGCAAAGCCCATGAAGATCTGTACTTCTTTAACACTCCGCGGGGCTTGCCAATTCGTAACAGACATGACCTTATCCAGTGCCATGGTGACGCCTGCTGGGGCAAGGATGTATCCGAGGAACTCGATTTCGGTGAGCTCGAAGAATGATTTCTTCGGGTTGGCGACCAGGTTGTATTCTTGTAGCCTGCTAAGTACTTTGCCAACCAGCTCCCTGTGTTCCTCTCGAGACTTGCTATATATTAGGATATCATCAAGGTATACTACTACCCCTTGATCCAGAAATTCCCTCAGCGCATCATTCATCATGTTCTGGAAGGTCGCCGGCGCATTTGCCAGCCCAAAAGGCATGACGAGGTACTCAAAATGCCCGTACCGCGTACGAAAGGCTGTCTTCCACTCGTCGCCGTCTTTGATCCTGATAAGGTTGTAACCTTCCTTCAGGTCAATCTTCGAGAAGATAACCGCGCCTGCCACTCGATCTCGCAGCTCGTCCATAAGCGGTAACGGATACCTGTTCTTGATGGACACACGGTTAAGTCCACGGTAGTCAACGCAAAGTCGCAGACTACCGTCCTTCTTCTTCACAAATAGGATTGGGGCTCCTGCCGGGGATTTGCTTGGCCTAATCTTTCCCAATCGTAACATTTTATCCAGGTACTCCCGAAGCACCTTCAGCTCAGCTTCGGATAGGGAGTAGACGGGTCCCCATGGTGGCTGCTTCCCTGGTTCGAGATCTATCGCATGGTCGTAAGATCGATGCGGTGGTAGTTTGTCGGCTTCCGATGGTAGGAAGACTTTAAGGAACCCATGGAGCCAAAAGGGAAGAGTTTCGTGGAGGTTGACCGATTCATCTTCCAATAGACAAATGCTACCGATGAATTGGGCCTCCGGATCGTCCAGTACACCCTCGTCCATTTCTATTTGAGGTTCCTTGTCAGTGAAGCATCGACTCTTGCAGTTCTCACCATCGTAGGAAACTTCCCTATTTGCCCCTATAACCGGCTTGTGTTCTTTCAACCACCAGTTCGGTAATATTGCATCGATGCCAAGTGGGAGAGGGGCGATCTCGAATGACAACTGTGTTTGATGCCCCCTTGACATTATAATTAATGGTTGTGTAAAGGCGTGTCCCGTGCCCTTCATAACTTCTCCCGTAAATCCAAATACCCAGGCCGGGACGTCTCGTTTCACCTTCGGGACCTCAAAACTATCAACAAAAACAGCAGACAAAACAGGACCAGTTGCACCAGTATCCAACAACACCTTACAGGGTAAACATTTTTCCGCAAAACAAAGGAACTGATTAACGATAGGTCGAGGACCATGAATAGGTTCCTCCAAAATTTTCTGTTTTTTCTCCGGTTGGGACGCTCTCCCTTCCTGCCTTTTTCTTTTCATATTTTTTTTGTTGTTTTCCGTCAGTGATAACATAGCAATCTGGGGATACTCCTGACCTGACTCATCAGAGTCCCCTTTTAAAAATCCTCGTCGAAATCCATCTCAGATTCTGATCCGCGCTCTCGCACAAACGCTTGCCCACTGGTGTACTCCGCCGCAGCCGTCGCAGCCGGCTTCTTGGCACGGTGCCTCATTCGCTTTCTCTGAGGTTGGGGTTCCGGTGGTTCCATATCGTGGTCGCCATCGTCATCGCGGGTACGCTTTCGGGAGAAAGAGGAGATAGATGCACTGCTGTTAGCATCTGAACGATACCACTTCCAAAGATGACCCTTCCGGCCACATCGCACACAGGCTCCATCGGTCTTTCGCTGTTCTCGGACCGGCTGTGGAACTCCTTTGGTGGCTTCGTCGTAGTCGTGGTATATTGGCTTATTCCCCGACTTGTTCTTACTGGTGCTCTTCTTATCTTGCCCCTTTTCCTTCTCCTCAGTCTGAGCCCTCCCCTTGATCTTAAACCCCTTCTCCTTTTGCCGCGAGTTCCCACCATTATTCGTCTCCCTTCCTCTCGACTCCGCTTTCCCCAACATCTTCATCTGCTCTTGATAAGCTTCATGAGCCTTGCCGGCTCGTTCCAACTGTTGGATGTACTCGGAGTCGTCATCGGTTGGATCGAAGCGTGAGTGGCGCTCCCGGATTTCATTTGGTAGCCCTTGGAGCAGGGCGGCGCGATAGGATGCTCCTTTCATCTGAGCATGCTGGTTCATGATCTCCATTCTCGTCAGGTAGTCCCCGATGTTAGCAGAGTACTTAAACTGCTGCATCTTCATCGCATTCTCCATAGCCTCCTGAGTGCTTAAGAAGCGTTTCCTGATCTCCTGACGGAACCGAGTCCAAGTAGCGTAGTCTGCGGCTGCTGGACCTAGCATCTTGGTCTCGATGTACTCCATAAACCATTCCTTCGCCAACCCACACGTATACGTTCCAGCGAACAGTACTTTGTTTCTGTCCGTTCGGAACTTCTTCGGCTTCTGCTCAAAGTAGATCTCGCACTCCATGAGCCAATGTCGCAGGTTATGCTTCCGGGCATTATCGAACTCGAAGGGTATTTTGGCGAGCGAATCTACCATATCCTCGTCTTCAGGCGGCGCCGAATTCCGGTTCCCGCCTCGGTTCGTTCTCCAGTTCTTTCGACCGTGGGACCATTCACTGTTGTCGTCGTCATCGTCGTCGGAAGGTTCTGGGTCTCCCCCAACATTTCCTCTTGGTGGGTTCTGGGGAGGTTGATTTCCACCATTCCCGCCGACGGGGGCAGCTCCCACCGGTTTCCTGCCACTATTTCCCTGCACTGGGCCGGCATCCTCTGGTTGCCTGCCTCCATTTCCTCCTACGGGACCAGCGTTTCCTCCTACTGGGCCAGCGTTTTCGGGGTTCTTGCCATTGCCCACAGGAACCGTTTGGGGTGCATTAGGGTCCAGGGGAATACTCACCATGGAGGGTGCTACCGACAAATGTTGTCGTAGACGTTCCTCCATGTCGGCTATTTGTTGGTTTCTTACGTCGTCGGACTGCTTGAATTGTGCCAACAGTTCCCGCTGTTCTCTTTTCTCCTGCTCTCGCTCTTCTCTTGCGATTCTCAGCTGTCGTTCCGCCTCCAGCAGTTGGTTCTGAGTAACTCGATGGTTACGGTCCAGAACCTCGTGGTCGGCGACTCGTGCGGCTTCCTGTTCTTGTCGAACATTTTCGACGAGCTCAAAGAGCGATTCGAGATGTTGTTTCTGGGCGATGGCTTCTTGTCGTACTTTCTTGTCCAGAATTTGCCCACTTCCTTGGACTTGTTCCTGGAGGTTTTGTAGCTGCTGCCAAACGGCCTGTCCAGCTGTGCCAAGATACCTCATTTGTGCCTCATGGGTATCCAAAAACTCCTGCATGGACCTCGTAAACTGGGCTTGAGCAGAGCGTTTACTGTAACGGGGACTATGGGCGTAGGAACTATGAAGCCAAGGAATACAACCGAGGCGAAGACGTAGAGGTAAGGAGGTTCGTGGACTATGGACTATGGGGCCGAAGGGTACACCTAAGGCAAGGACGGGGACTGTGGACTATGGACTATGGATGGTTGTACCTGGTCTAGTATACCGGGTAAACCCTATGACGTAGCGCGAACCAAATAGTATTCGTGACTGTAAAGAACAGAGGTTGCATAAAGAAAAAAGAGAAAGAAAGAGAAACAAAGAATCACGAGACAACGCCCCCCTTATATATCCATACCCTATCCCAATGCTGACTCATACCTTCGCATAACAGAAACAGAAAGAACATAATAGAAACCCGCTTCGCTAAACCCAACCACACTGCATAACCCTTCCTCTTCGTACCGCAACACCTCGCATAACCAAACCACATGGCTGCCGTTACAGACCACTCCCCCCTCTAAGGCCTATCTCCTGGTAGGCTTAGGCTTCCGTGGATATCGTTCGTGAAATCGTTTGACAATATCGGGCGAATGTTCGACATCCGACAATGGCTGCCACGAAGCTTCGTCATAACCGGCATACTTAACCAAGTATTCAAATCTTCCCCGACGATCCCTGGAATCCAAAATATCCTCGACTTCCCACTCCTCCTGTCCTTCAACTTCGACCGGCGGTGGTGGTAACTGTTGTTGTCCTGGTAAAGGATCGTTTGCTGCAGACGACAATAAAGAGACATGGAATACGGGATGAACTTTCATGGAACGAGGAAGTTCCAACTCACAGGCATAAGGACTAACGATCCGTTTCACGACATACGGTCCAATGCGTTTCCAATCGAGTTTCTTCGATGGTCGTTTGGTGAGGACATGGCGTGTTGATAAGAAAACTTTATCCCCCACACGATAGTGAGGTGCTGGAGTCCGACGTATATTGGCGGACTCTTCTTGAATCCTTTGCGCTCGAAATAATTCATCCTTTAGAAAATCCAATATATCCTTCATCTCCCTTGCAATACTATTGGCCTGATCCTCCGCTGTTGTCCTACCATGCTCCAAAGGACCAAAAGTCATTCTTGGATTCCTCCCTGAGTTGGCGTAAAATGGAGAGATTCTCGTCGTTTCCGAAGCATGGTTATTTGTTGCAAACTCGGCCATTGGCAACCATCGAACCCAGTCGTCCTGTTGATAAGAAACATAATTTCGCAGGTATTGTTCCATCACAGCATTGATTCTTTCCGTTTGTCCATCCGTCTGGGGGTGAAACGCTGTAGAGAACTTTGGCGATATTTCCAAACGATCGCAAAGGGACCTCCAGAATTCCGCAACAAATTGTGTTCCTCGATCAGATACCATAGTTTCAGGAAGTCCATGTAATTTCCAAACATTATCGATGTACAACCTCGCTACTTCTTTTGAATCCGCCTCTTTAGTTGTGGGAATCAGATGTCGCATCTTGGTTAGTCGATCCACTACCACCAATATCGCATTATATCCGTCGCTTTCCGGAAGGTCAGTAACGAAATCCATTGATACATCTCTCCATGGTCCATCGGGTATTGGTATAGGTCGAAGTACCCCATAAGGTGCATTGCGTGGTGCCTTGCTACGGGCACACACATTGCAATTCCTAACGTACTGGTCGACATATTTTCGCATCTGTGGCCAGTAGTACTCTCGATTCAGGAGTTCCAAAGTCTTCGCTCTGCCTGGATGGCCTGCCGATGGTTTGTCATGATGTTCCTTTAGGAGTCTTAGCCGAAGATCGTTGTCATCCGGTACATAGAGTGCGCCACGATAAAGTAGCCGACCGTTATTGTCTTCCGTGCATTCGGCAAGCGAAATCTTATTCGAGTAATGGACGCCATTCCGAAGCATTGCAAGGACTTTGTTCGGGAAACTGTCAACTTGGTAAGCATTTAAAAACAACTCTTCTACAGTGGACATTCCTTCAGCGGATTCATTTGAAAAAGAACCCGCGAACAAACTTAGCTTTGAATCCAAATTTTTTCGCTTCAAAACCACCTGGCTTTGATGCATTAGCCGTTCATCCCCCTCCTTAGGTAGGTCACCCGACCTCCTAGTCAATGCATCCGGCTTTGCCCCTTGTTTCCCTGGTCTAAATTGAATGACAAAATCGAAACGTGAAAGAAATTCCGACCAACGAGCTTGTCGACGGTTTAATAGCTTTGTTGACATAAAATATTCGAGGTTCCTATGATCGCTGAGGACTTCGATTGGGAATTGTGCCCCTTCCAAATGATGTCGCCATTCCTCAAAACATCGTACAATTGCCAGAAGTTCTTTGTCGTAGATTTCATAGTTGCATTCCGCAGGGGAATGCTTCTTTGAGAAGAAAGCAACTGGATGTAAAATTCCTTCATCATCACGCTGGGACAGGATTCCGGCAGAAACATAATCGGACGCATCGGTTTCTATTATGATTTTCCGATCCGGATCGAAGTGCGCTAGGATGGGTGCTGTGGTGAACATCTTCTTTAATGTCTGGAATGCTCCCTCCCTTTCATCCGTCCATTCGAATTTGACATTCTTCTTTGTTAACGCTGTAAGGGGAGCAACAATTTTCGAATATCCCAAGATGAACCGTCGATAGAAATTCGCAAAACCCAAAAATACCTGAACATCGTGAAGATTCCTTGGTATAGACCATTCCAAAACATCAACAACTTTCTTCGGGTCCATCCTATTCCCATCAGGGGTGAGAATAAGGCCAAGATACTTTGTTTCCTGGACCATAAATTCACATTTCTCAGGCTTAAGGTGAACATGATTCTCATCAAGTACCTTCAAAACCTTCTGAATGTGTTCCTTATGTTCCGACAGGGTTTCCGAATATATCAAGATATCATCCAGATATGCAGTTACGAATTGGTCAAGATAAGGTCGTAGGATATCATTGATCCAATGTTGGAATGTGGCCGGAGCATTGGCTAATCCAAATGGCATTACTGTATACTCGAAGTGTCCGTATCGAGTTCTGAACGCCGTCTTCCATTCGTCTCCCTCGGCT